ATATATATACATATGTATGTAGGTATGTAATAGGTTTACGATGAATATTATAATTTAGTAATTTATTAAACCTTAGGTAAATACAATCAAACATAAACATATTAAACAATTATATTAACATGAACTGTTGCATTTGACTCCATGTTAATATGAAATTGGTTCACAAAAATGGCACAAAGTATTATGAGCAAAAAAATAGCAACTTACAAAAGTCTGTTAAAATATGACATTATTCAGTGATATACTGATATTTGGTGAGATCAAGTTCCAATTGCTATAACCAGCTCAATTAAACCAGTGATCGATAATGGCGTCTAGTATTCTCGTTTTACCACTTCTGATTGTGTTTATAGTGATTTAAAAAACAAGCTCACTCTCATTTTTTCCTTTAATAATTAATTTATTAGAATTCTGATTTTGGATTTTTGGAATTTTTAAATATACTCAAATATCTAATAATTATTCAATTTGATGAATTTGTTTGAACTAGTTAAGGAGAGCCTGGTGAGCTGTGGTGAATGGTGATACAAACTTCTATTTATCAAATAAATATCTCCCTTTTCTGGATAATTTTTTTTTGAAAACGTTGGGTTGCCTCACCAAAAATTGGAATAAGTAGTGTCTCAGATATTAAAACTTTTGTACTACCTAAGGATAATAGTCCTTAAGAATGGTTTACTGTATATAAAATAAATGTAATATTGGATCTAGTTTTTTATACTTGAGCCATTTTTACAAATTATTTATGTTAATAATTGACAGATTAATATTTATCACTAAAATTTTTAAATCATCATTGCCACCAAATCAGATAAGTCAATATTTTCAGAAAAATTATCCATTAAATAATTTAGAGTATTCTCATTAAGTAATACGAAAATCTCAAGAATTTGAAAATATAGTAATTAACTATATATTGACAAATTCGAAAAATCAGGTTTTGAATAACCAAATATTTTAAGAAAACAGGGGTGAGCATATGATCGGTGAATCACCCTGTATAATAATACCATAATACTTTAATTATAGGATTCAACACTATATCATAAGATTATATAAATTTTACTGAACTTTCCATGTCAGCAAAAATTCAAACATTTAACCTAGGAGGCCATTTCAGTTGAACTCTGCCCATCGCCCATCTATTATACTAGTGACAACCAATCGGTGATACACTTAAATAGGTACCTTACGCAAATAATTTGCTTATCAGGTATTTTACAGCTGAAAGTGAACGAAAAAAGCATATATTAATTGATATTATTTTAACGAGTGATCGATCGACCGAAGCCACCTTCGTACATCCTATCATGTGGCTTGTAATTTTTAGGAAACAAATTCCCAACATTCCTCATTAGTTGTTCAGACGGAAATAACGGTAGGTATAATATTGTACGCGTCATCAAAGTTGTTGTGAATATATTATAATACTATATTTGTTGATATTATAGTCGTTTATTATTTAATATCAATTTTTTTTTTTTTTGTTGTGCAGAAGAAAAATTATAACTGTGCTCCTGTGGCAAGTACATCGAATTTATCGACCACATAGGAAAAAGGAACGATGATGTGGAGAAGAAATAAATTGTATTCTAAAAGGATTAATATGTCCACCACGATTGTCATCGGACTGCTCACGATTTTGTTGGCCACCCAATCATCCAACGGCCAAGCCGACCGAAATCCCTCAGCGACAATCACGAACTGTCAAGAAGAACGATTTCCCTCAATGGCGGTCGCAGAGTGTCAAGTCGGTGAAAATCCCACAGTGGAGTCTCTGAACGATAAAGTCGACCAAATTCCAGCAGTGGAGGTGGTGGACAATCAAGTCAGCCGAATTTCTCCAGTGGCACAAGCGGAGAGTCTGTCAGGATCGTGGATATCTGAGCTGTTTTACCAGGCACTGGTTAATTTTACAGTTCGACACGTCGGCAGCTCCGCTTGCAGGGCCCAATCCGACATGTATGACAGACATTTGAAGAACCACACTAGTTGGGCTGTCAGAAGTGAGTACTCGCTCTGATTATGTTGGCTAAATGTACAATTACCAAATATTGTAGTACCCATACCATTACAATACAATATAAAATCCCAAAAATTATAGTATCAAATTCATTTAAAATGGTTTTTAATTTAATTTAAATATTTATATTAATATTAGGTACAGGATATTATACATTAGTACATGACATGCATAAAAAAGTGTTTATTTAATAATAAAAAAAAAATAATAATAAAATTGCTGATTGAATTTGAATTTTCTATACTTAATGCCATTCACCTGAAACATTTTTTATACATTTTAGAAATAAATAACTTACAAACAACTTAAATAGTTATCCAGCAATCGCCTTATTTTATTGATGTGCATACAACCTATGTACAAAAACAAATTTTTTTTTAAACATTTCTTCCGTCTGCAATTGACAGAATTTGATTAAAAATACTGGGAAATGAACTAATAAATAAAAATGTGACCTAAAAATGACCTCAACAATTAAAAATGTCAAAAAATGCAAAATAAAAGTTGCATAAATGGATTCGTAGTTACATAATTCAAATTATGTACTTACAAAGCTACGTTTCATAATCACCAAAAAAAAATGCACTTTCCTACAAATTCACAGCCCTACTTATTACTAATATCCGCATTATAATATGTATAACTTTAATTAACCCTAAGGAGGCTATTAATGAGTTAAAAAATTAAATTTGCTTAAATTTTTAAACTTAACTACTTAACTTATCTAATGCACTTAATGAATGACAATTTAATTAGATTAATTGTCCACTTTAATTACTTTTGCAATAACATATAGGTACACGTTAAATTAAAACATGTTTAAGACTGGATAAAACAAAAAATAATTTAAATATTTTTTTATTTTTTTATTTAATCACGCTGTAGAAAATTATTCTAAATTAAGATAAGTAAATAGTTCGATAACTGCGTAGATATATAAATTTATTTGCCTAAACTAGGAATCACCAAATGGACAACTTTTTCCGGCCGCTGACAAGAAAACAAAAGTAAAAACTTTAAATATCATACGTTGTGCTGTTGCAATTCATCATGTTTGTTCTTTAGTATATTTTTTTTTTACACAACAAAAAACACAATTTACTCAACAATTTCCAGATTCCTACCGTGGCCCTTCAAAAATATTTATTGGTGACCTCTGACTTAAAATATTTTAGTGCAATAATAAGAATTGATGAAATAATAAAAAATGGATACCTAGTAATTAAAAACATTTGATAGTTTCATAATAGTTGTAATGAATGTATTGATTAATACTAATGTGTGACCTGGATGATACTTAATAAATTAATGAACTTGTTTTTAACTGACTTAAGCCAATATTTTTTCTATATGAATTTTAAACTTTTAGAGTTAAATACTATATTATCGATGTGATAACTTTATTATTATTAATTGATATATAGTATTAACTATATTAAGTTACATAACTAATCAATGTGATGTACATTTATTTAACTAAGCTATAACTCAATTTAATTGCAAACTTTTATTAAATATTTATGACAAGTATAGTAATTACATATTCTCGAGCATAATGCTATATAAAAAAAAAATTGTCTTGTAAAACCTAAATGGCTAAATTAGAACTTGAAACAGGATCAGCGATGTATTATTTCAGGACCCTTTTTCCCTCCCCAAATGTCTATTAGGAAAATAAACGTCATCTATCTGAGAGTCTTGCATCCCTGACATCTTCAGGATAGCCACCGCCCACCGGCTTACATAATCAGAATCCAGGTTACATTGCCATATATTATAATTAAGGAATTTATGCTTTTTCTAATTTTTATAACTGATGGTTTAAGTTATACGCGATCAATGGTGATTTAAAACTAACAAAACTTAGATTCTGAGCGGAGAGATAAAAATATTGGTTTTGCAATGATGATGACGTGTGTTTTTTTATAACTTTTGTGTCGGTATCTTTTCCGCGGGAAAAGTAAATCTAGTTGGTGCATTTAGGAGGTCCACATTTAAAACCACACATTTCAAAAGGGCCAGGAAAAACAAACCAAAATTGGTGTTTGACAAGATGGTTTTGGGTTATGGTGTAGGTAACTCTAAAAAAAATTACCGTAGATACATGAATGTTCACTGAATGTTTATATAATCATTTTCTATTCACCATACAATTTTCAAAATATTTTGACTCATGTTGAGCTATTTATAGGCATATGCAAATATGATTTTTATTAATTTTTTAAATTAATGTCTGTAAAAAGTTGCTGTTGTGCCTTGACAATTTAATAACTAAGCTCCTGTTGTATTGTTACAAAACAGTTGGAAAATATTAAAAATACATAGACAATGATAGTTTACCTACTGATAATATTACGTAACTGTTGAACTATAACTATTAATACAAGCTAATTAAAAACAAAAAGAACCTACTGGTAATATAATTTGCAAATTGTGATCCACACACCGTTATAAATACAGTTGAGATCGGCTACAATGTGTTTCAAAAGCTAACTAGTTTTTCTCGTTGTAACCAGTAACTCATTTTAATATACCTACGAATAGACTGAGGGTTCATTGTAACTGTTTGGAAACGGGAAAATCTAAAATACAAACAATTTTATTTTACTTATAATCGAGGTTCAAACAGAATTCATTAAGAACCTATTTATTAAAATTGAAGATTGAATACTTTATTTATGAATATTTATAAACATATATTAGGTGCTTAAAACAAGTCAGAATATTTTCATCCACTTGAGTTTAATTTCTTAACATTTTCTTTGTTTTGTGGAATGTTTAGTGTAACCAAAGTTTCTAATAAAAACATCGCTTTCCTCTCAATTTTTTACGAGTTCTCGATGCACCACGATTTTCAGATATTGATGGCGTTGTTCTAAAATCACCATAAAGCTCATTGGCATTATTATCTTGTTCAATTATTCGATGCTGGTCATGGCATTTTTAATTATATTTTCTTCATTCGTCGCAAATAAATTATGGGCAATAGCGACTTACTCGTAGTAACCGGTTATACAATTCGTCTTATTTTACTATTGCAGCTGATATTTTGCCATAATTTTTATTCCTTACTAGCTGTAAACGTCTATTTTAACGTACAATCATATTATATAGTCTCGTGCCGATGATCGAATGTTTTGCTCGTTCTAAACAGTATATCATTCTAACCGATTCTCGTCGTGGTGTTTTTTTACTATCCGCATGTTATGTACCTCATGCTGAAAAAAACCTAGCGCCTATGCATTTATTTCAGTTCATGTTCAAACGCTGATTATAATGCATACCTCTCTTCCCACCCTCTAGTCAGTTATTGGTTGGTTATAAATGTATTTTTATGCGAGTATTATCGTTAATTGTAAGTTATATGACTGCTGAGACTAATCATAATTGTTTTCAAATATAAACATAGCAAATTGTTTTGAAACACATTAGTCATGATCACTATTATTTTTCAGTGGCGGAATCCTGGACCCGATATCCGACTGGAATATTAGCGGGCAACCAATATCACATGGGAATTTACGACGAATGTGTAGACGTGCGTCATCCTGTGATAGGACAGTATTGCTTGTCCGAAATAAATCTAAGCTCATTGACGGGCAAGGATTACAGCTTCAACAAAACGAACGATCTAGATGATTTCGGTAATAAAAATGCCTTGAAAACAATACTCGGGGTACGTGCATCGAATTCCTACTATTAATTGATTTTTTCAGTCAAAAATAAAAGTACCTTTATAATTACAAAATGGTACATAAATACATAATATACTGCTCTTTCTTACACTTTTTTATGACGAAATTAAATTCTGAGTAATATGTATATCTTAATATAGTTTTATATATTATTGCAATAAACGTTAAAAAATTTAGTATAAATCATAATAATAGGTAACATGATTTTGAATACGTTTAAAAATGTCTGAAGGTTTCGAATATTAAATAGTTACTAATACTTACTAGAGAATAACGACTTAATAATTTTTATTTTGAACTTATAGATACATAGGCTAAAAAAAATACTTTTGATCTTGAAAAATTGCGGATCCCTTATATTATAGAAGTAATTATTTTTGAAAATAAGTCATATCGGTGACCATGAACATGGCCTGGGGAATCTTAATCTTAATTTCTAAACATACTATTGCTACTTAGTACTTACACTACATTTTACTAAACTAAAGATAAAATTACATTTATTAAAATCATTGTTATTACCGATTGAGGTTTTACAGTATAGTATTATAATGAGTATCATAAAATGTTAAGTCCTGTTGTTTTGTAATAAAATATGGACTTTTTTATGTATACATGTCCGTGTATTACTGCAGGAGATGACTTTTGAGCTGAAATCCGTGTTTTTTTGTCAATTATCATTTTGGTTTTAACTACTTTTAAGCAAGCTTCTGCTTGATATTCTTTAAGCACTGCAACATAATATACAAATATAAGCCAATTGGCTCGTTCATAAGGGTGGTTGTCATCTGGAGTCAAGTGTAATAGAAACTAGTTCATAAAATGCATCTGAAATGCCAGTAGATTTAAATGTGAAATTTCAAATTAAAATTTATAGTGTAAGGGGTACAATATTGTATCACAAAATAAAATTTAGTTTTGCGCTTTTATCCCACTGCTAAGATAAAAAAATTATACGATTTGCGCTTTAGGGTATCATCGGGTTTTGCTTTGGTGTCCGGTGGGTCATAACTATTAGATGCAAATATTATTATATACAATAATAAAAAGCAGATATTAAGACCCAATAGTATCAAAATATTCCCATTGACAAGGCACATATTATCGCTGATAACTGAATAATATAACTTATAAGGTAAAATTAATCATATTCTATAACTATAGCGATTACGAAAGTAAAACAATATACTGCATCCTTTCAACGTATTTACCATAATAGGACAAGTTTATAATTTAAATTTAGAACCTCTAAATATATCCATTATTTATATTTTTTATGATTGACCAGTCCGTGCAGGTGGACCGGTCAACCGCTCTGCCTTACCTACAACTGGGCTAGTCCACCCCTGATTATTACTTACTTTAACCGTTTCAGTGGGGTGATTATATGGACAAAGTGAAACGAAACAGACTTCATTTAGGAATATGCATTCCGGATGCATGTTCGGCATTAGACCTTCAAACTTCATTGCAAAATGAACTGGACAGGGTGCTCACGCCAGAAAATATCAAGGCCGCCGTGAAGGTGGATCCGATAATGTGCACGGTTAGAGGAGACATGTATCCCTATAACGCATCATACTACAGGACCAGGTCATTCCATATTATTATTACTTAAGTTTTATTATTAATGCCCGATGTCAATACAATTCACATCTACGATTAACAATCTTTGAATTTCAAGTCAACAATTTTTTCCTTAAAAATATGTTAGATGTAGCTGACGTTTTTGGAGATAGTATATCGGACGTATCAATGTGTATCCACAAAGTTATCGAAATAATAAGACGGTGTTAAGATTGTACCATTGATTATAAAATACTTAATGTATAAAATAGTTTTGTAAATTGTATTTATAGTCAATGCTATTAGGTACCTATAGTAAATTACTCAGTATACATGTAATAGTAAAATATTTTACTTGTTCATCCGTTTGTGACTTATTATGATATTGTTCTAGAATGTTTTTTTTAATGCTCTTTTTTATTTGTTGCGGCACAACGTTGTACCATTACATAAGAATATCATACAATAAAAATCCTAAAAAAACCAGTAAGTGATAGTGATTTCACGGAGATTATAATTTTTTGTTTGTATAATCATCAATGTGCATTAAAATATTTATTATTATAATATATTTTACATTAATATCTACAGGTGGAAGTTTCGGTTCATTTTGTGATACATTCTCATTTATTGATTCAATCAAAGACTTGTTAAAATTCGATAAGGACAACGAACTGAATTCTCTCTATGGATTTAAAGTGATAATGATGATAAACGTTATAATGGGTCACAGATTATTTTATATATTTGGAAATCCCATGAGTAACCCTAAATTATTAGAAAGTGTAAGTCACGAAAATATTTCTGAAACGAAATTACCTAGAAATTATTAGAAATGTTGTTGCATGTTGGAGATTTTTAAATTTTAACCTGTCAAAAGTTTAAACTAGATTCAATATCCTATTAGAAACTACCCTTAATGTTGAAAATCAAATTGACAATAAATTATTGAAAAAAAAATTCAATAAAAAGCTTTAAAATGTAATGCAAAGTTTATAACCAGTGGATAAATCCACTGAAGATTGTTTTAATGAAATTAAAAAAAATTGAGTAAGTGGATGTCGCTCCGCTCTACAGTAGGTTGCACAAGTGGATCACTGTAATACATGGTGTTAAATTGGTATTCAATGACATAAAATCATTGTATACGAAAAACGATTCTGAGCAAAGACGGTTTGTCAGCCTATAATATTACCTAGTAATTTGATATGTTTTTTTCACATTTATTTATTAAAATTTATTGGTTGGTAGCACATCATTATTACATGTTGTGGAATTTTAAACTATAGATTCAATTTTCTTCCCAAAACAACCTTAAGTTATAAAGTCAAAGCATTATTTCAATTGATTATCGTAATACATACACAATAATACCATTTGAAATGAATACATTCATCGCTCTGTTCAAAATCGAAATTAAATTAGACAAAGTCCACATCATAGTATTAATCTTTTCAACAATTTCAGGCATATCACAATGGTCCTGATCTTTTATTGACTATGGCAAACGTGATCGATCCATTTTTTTTCATAAGCGGTTATATCATGTATGTGAACATTTCTCGGCCATCTAAAAAAGTTGAAGTAGGAATCAAAAAAATCACATCGCCAATTATCAACCGAGTGTTAAGGTGAGTAACAATGACTCATTTAAAAGTCAATACAATTTTTCCGAAAAGAATAATGTTCGTCTACGAGAAATCAATGATTACCATCTCACTGTACCACACTCTATTTTTTTAGAGAAAAACCAGGGTGAAATGTTTGGCGCCTTCATCAAGTCTATTACAAATATATTGTTTTCAAAATATTTCCTTCTGAATCTCGTATTCTTCTATTTTTCAAAACATTTTTTAATTCAACACCCACCACAAATTGTTTCGTTTTTGATTTTATATAGTACCTATAGATTTCCACTAGGTATTTAATCAAGTTTTTTTTAAACTTCACACGTATTTTCATTTTGAATGACATGTCCATACAAATAACACATATAGTTGAATAATAATAATAATAATAATAATAATAATAAAATAATACAAAGAATCATTTTAACTTATAGTGTACGTATAATCCATACGATTCACAATAAATTACAGACTATAATATTCTTAATCGCAAAATATTAAAGTATATAATATTATACAGTTAATTCCGATATAATGCAATTTGATAAAGTATAATGAGTAGATGTTGGTAAATTGGTAGAAGTCTAGCATACTTAACCACCAAAATTGCGGTAGACAGCTGCACATTAGTCTAGTACATGAAGTTTTTATCAAATTATTGTGTATAATAATTATATACTATCGACCTGTAGAATGTTACCGGCGTATTGCGCGATGATGGCGATCACAGCGCATATCGTACCTCACCTCGGGGACGGACCGTTGTGGCCAAAAATAATATGGGAAGAATCTGAAATTTGCAAAAATTATTGGTGGACCAATTTATTGTTCATAAACAATTTTCTCGAAACCAAATACGCAGTAAGACGTGACTACCTATATTATATTATTTTTATTTAATCGATTATTACAATATTAATTTATTATATACACTATAACCAGTGTAGTTTATTTGTGTGTTATTTTTTTTTTTTGATCTCCTAGGTATATAGTTTATAAAGCTCCCGTATACATGTAAATTATAATATTATAGTATATACCATGCATGTAATACAATTATATACAGACTTAAAATAATACCCACTCACATTTCTATAATAATATTACAGTGCCTCATAATTAACTACTACGTGTCGTGCGACGTTCAGTTTTTCACAGTTGGAGTGATAATTGTTTATGCTTACATGAAAAACTCCAAACTCGGAATTCGATTACTTGGTATAGTACTTGCTTTTTCGGTATCCGTGCCGTTTGTAGTCACTTTTATAACGAAAAGAAAAGGAATGGACATATTCTATGTTCCGTAAGTCTTATTTAAAATTATTAATATAGTATGTACTCAATCGTAAGGTCAAATAACTATAATAGTACCTTTTTTTTCCTCGTTTAAACCGACAGCAAAATGATGTTTAGAATAACATGAAAATTATGAATACAATAATGGTTGCTTCACGTTACAAAATAAAAATAATAATTTTATACTTGAACATAAGAAATATTCAGGTTAGGTTCAGAAATTGTGGATGATTATTTCATATTTATTTCCTGATTTGGGGGAGGATTTTAGAACGATATACCTACTATTATAATGTGATTGTTAATAAGTGCTTAAAAAAACATTCAGTAAATAAACAGGTGAATGGTAAATCTATTAAAATAAACCTATCTATAATAACAAAATAAAATAAAACAATACCTATCAAATATAAACTTTTTTGTTAGGCGTTATAGACGCCAATAAATTATTTGACTGTATTTTGTATACAACTAGATTCACTAAAAGTTATTATCTGATTACTATATATTTTTGTCGTATTGATGACTATATTATATAGGAAATAATTAATTAATTATTCTTCAGGTATATAGAAAGTATAAGATCTTGCATAACCGTAAATGAGTCGTACAGATCAAGCTACATGAGAGCCACACCTTTCTTTACTGGTTTAGCCACGAGTTTTATCGTGGAAAAGTTGAAGGAAAACAAAGTGAAATTTTCCCGTGTAAGTGCCTTTATTATTTACCAACGTTCGTGCTCATCGTGCAATTTAACATTTGAAAAAAACTGAATTTCATTAATTCCGTGTATACTTATAGATCACTGTCTACGGTGGAACATTCATTGTTTTCATGGTTTGTCTTCAAACTCAGCTCTACGGTGTAAATTTGTACCCTCAACATAGACCTTATTATCCGTTGGAACATGCTTTGTACTCAGTCGTCACTCATTGTACGTGGGCAGTATGGGGCATGTGGTGTTGCATTTGTTTGTTCACGACTGGATATGGTAATCTAAATTGTATTATAATAATAAGTACCTAGGTCTATGATTTTATTGACCTAAAAAAATGAATCTAAAATAACTTAAACATGACAAAAATTACATCAAAATATAACAAAAATGCATAGTAAATAATAATTAATAAATATTAATTATTAATTGGTACAAAATTATTTAAATTAAATATTACAAAAAAATATTTAAAGAAAGATTTTGATTATTTATTAATAGCCCATAAGTATTACTGTTGAATGTTTAAAATGCTCTAAAATAAATAAAATAACAAAATATTTTAAAATTATTACTAAATTTTGTAAAATCGTAAGATTAAAAATAATATCTAGATTTTAACAAAGTATAAAAAATGACCCAAAACTCTAAAAAGTACAAAAAATGCAAAATAAAAACTATTTATCTGAACTCATAGATAGATAACGAAATCAAATTTTGTGCTTGAAAAGCTATATCCAGTATATCATAGAAAAAAAATTCAAAATCCTATACTATCCTAGCCCTTATAATAAGTCTTAGGCAGTTTATTGACATGTTTTATAAATGTTACAGGTAATGTGCAAAAGTGGGTAATTGGTATTGATAAATATTACCCATTAATGAACAAACTATGTTGACTTTTGTTTTTGCATATTATCTATACTCTTGATTCTGTTAGTTTACACATGAAAATGGTTAGTCATCTATTAAATCATTTTAATAATAATATATTATAATTATTATTTACTATTGTATTAACTAATTGTTATTACTTGTTATTGTTAGTAGTATACCAAATGCCAACTGTTCTTACCATTGGCATTGCGCAGGGGGGTAGGTGCTAACGGACTAAAGCCCTCCTAAAAAGAATTAATTATCAAGTTTCAATTGTAAAGTCAACTAGTTAACAGTTAATTCAAATTCATATACGTTTTAATATACTCGCTAAGCCTTCATAAATTAAAAATGGGCCCTATATTGGAAAGTATTCAGGTACAAAATTAATTTTCCGCAAAATTTTTCGACAATTAAAAACAACCTATAGGTACCTAATAGACTACTAGAGTCTTAGGGACTCAGGGTATAAAATTCGATGCAGTCTCGTATCATCTTAAACTTAATAATATTAGTTAAACACAATATTATAAGCCGTGTAACTAAACTGTAATGCGGATTTTATAAAATGTACAGCTGGTAGTCAAATATTGTGAATTATTGTTTCATCGGTTTTATTATGTTAGATTATTAAAGGCACAAACGTATCTTATTTCATAATATAAGCGTATATATAACATTCAACTATTTAATACCTACTTAAACGCTAACATATAAGTAGAGCTAGTATTTTAATGACCTAAAAAATACGCAAAAATGCACTAAAAAAAAATGTAAAAATGACCAAAAAATGTACTTGGACGAACGAAAAAAAATTAATTTTAAAATAAATTTTACTATTAATTATTATTAATTCATTTTTGATATTACACAAAAAAGCTAAAAATTTGTTTCAAGAAGTAAATTAAACAAATATGTATATTCAAATTTGAGTTGACTTGTGAGTTTAATTAATTATATTACTTTTCGATTCATGCCCACTTTGCCTAATCCCAATTCGCCGACAACTCAGTTTACCGACAAATATACCAGTTTTTAAATATTTTTCATATTATTTTATTAATATAGTTTTAATTTTTCCCATTCGCCGACAAGTGAGAATAATTTTATCGTAAACGGGTATAACAGCGATAATATTATGGTATGTTGTCGATATAAGTTCAAAGGTACTATTTATACAAGGGTACTATAGGTACTAATTTAGATTACCTACACAACACACATTAAAAAACTTAAAATAAACTAAAATTAGTTTAAATACTCAAATTGAATATAATGTTTGTAAAAATGAGCTTAAAAATGCAATGAAATGCTTTTAACACAAAAAATTCAAAAAATTCAAAAAAATTCAAAAAAATGCAAAATAAAAATCACACATTCTAAATGATTGTATTACGAAACCGTTTTTGTTTTTGGTTAAAACTGTATACCACTTAAAGAAAAAAAAAATGCGAAAGTCACCAAAATCTTAGCTCTACTTATTCCTATTCATTGTGCCATGGTGTGGAGCAGTGGCTGACCGCAGTCACGTAAAAGTGCTGAAATCACGCTACGCCCGGCATCTCAAACTCCCGGATGCGTGACCACTCGGGTTTTTAGCGACGAAACATAGCACACATACCTACAAGATACCACGTATTACAAACTTACCAACTCAAAAACCTAATAAAAATAACCCACTACCATACCATCATCTACCCCACACCCAATGGCCTATGTGGCCGTGGGTTCTCCCTAAAAAAAAAAAACGGAATGAATTAAATTCGAATGATACATAAGCGCATAATATTGTGTTATGGTGCATAATTTATTCAGAATTATAATTAATGACTGATAGGTGATATTATATTATTCAAACCCTGCATTTTACAGGTCACCTTACATACTTATTTAACAACAGACTTACAGTGGTTTTGGGAAGACTCTCGTACTCAGTTTTTTTGGTGAACATCACTGTCCTTATGATGTCTCATGGTACAATAAGATCACCGTTTTACATTTCGGGCATGTCCGTGGTAAGAAGTCAAAACGACAATTTCGTGTCGGGACATTTTAACTAATGAAAATGTTAAATACAGTAAAATAATTCATATCCATTTTATAATGCACGAAGTCGGATAACGAATTAAAGAGTTCATTATACGGTATAGCATTAATATTGTCTATACTTTATGTGTGGTTTCAGGTGGATGCTTGGATATTCGATATAGTTAAATGTTATGCGGTGGCCTTAGTGTTATACTTGGTGATTGAAGCGCCGTTTAATAAATTGATTAAACGGTGGATTTTATAAGGGTAAAATATATACTTTTTTTATTTCGTATCGTGAATAACTGATGTTTCATCAAATATTTTTTCAGGTAAAGAAGAAAAACTACTTTAAATATAAAAGCTTATTAGTGTCTACTAAGTCATCAATAAAAAATAATTTGATTAGTTTATAGCAACTGCTGCGGTTAAGTCTTATTTAAAAAATATATATAAATAACTGATTAGTGATAACAGTATTAATACTACACGTTTAGGTTTTTAAGATTTTTTAGATTTATGATTTTTCCAAGTGTTTGCACTTAGTTAATAATTTACTTGTGAATGTGGCTTTTAATAATGTTGAACAATCAAAATGTATAAGTATGTTTATTTCTGGCATAATTATTTTACTATTTTTAATACATCAATGTGTATATTGTATTACTTAGCATATATTCAGTAAACCCAAATTATTATTTTCAAGTGGATTACTTGCATTCATCGATGTAAAACTTATTTGTAACTCAATACTTATTATATTATTATAATTTATAATATACTGTATGAGTTACCTCCAAAAATACATATAATACTGCAAATTATATTACTATTAAAAAACATAATATTAGTATAGACGATACATCAGTGTTGTGTTACATAATATGTAAACATCACAATAATATATGTAAACATGCTTAATTATACATAATGAGTTATAGTAGTGTTGCCTAATCAATAGTTAATAAAAGTTATTTTGTAAGGTTACTTTTACAGGCGGACACTGTAAAGGTTAAGTCCGACCACCACGGATCGGAGACAGCTGCTAGCACCGAATCGGTTCCTGAGCCCCCAACCACTGCACAAACCGAATTGGTTTCCGTTCGTTTAATCGCTCCCATTTTCCTTCTACATTGTACAGGCTTATAATAAGACAGTCAACTTAAAAGTGGGCATGGTTAAAAATGTGCGTTAGTGATCGTTGAAGTAGAAGTCAACTAGTCATTACTGAGGTACAAAAAACAAAAAATAAAATAAAATTATAAAATTTAAAATCGTTGATTTGAAAATTTTAAGCAAACTTTTTTCAATTATTCTATTCGTATACATTTCCCATTGATGTATTCAGTCATAGTAATTTTATTATTTTATTGCATATGATATAATATAGAGTAGGTACATTTATATTTTACACTTTCTAATTTCTAATTTGTACCAATTATATCCATATATATGATTTCATATTGCAGAAGAATACTTAAAAATGAAAATTGTAACTAATTGGCGTGGACACACGGGAGAATCGATTTGGCTGAACTTAATAAAATACCTTTTTTAGACGAAAACCAACTCGGCTACTCCCTTCAAGACTGCAGGTTAGGTCGGAGTAAGTGGATTTGTATGTATTTGTATGTACACTTGATTTTATTAAAAGAAATCATAATAGTAATATATAAGGTCCATTTGTCCTACATATTAAAGATATAAATAGTGCAACAATTATATGCATAATTGCATAATCATTTTTAAGTTTTTACCTGACACCTGTAAGGCCACTTGATTAGGAAATATACAAAGGAATGACTTTTGTTTTCTAATTATTATTTATTATTTTATCGTTATATATTAGTTTCATTTGTAGGTAGGTATGCCAATATATTGTATTGCTACAATGTTGAGTTGTTCGTTAATAGTGTGTTTTCAAGGAAAACCCCTTAGACATCAAAATACAGCCATGCAATATTCGTGTTCAGAATCCGAAACATTTTGTATCGAGGCAAATAACTCTACTTGACTACCGATATGTTTCATTATTATGGTGATGTATTGTTTTCCTGTACATTTAAATCGCACATAATATTAGTTCTTCTAGACTGCAGCAATGAAACGTCATAAATCCTTTTCTAAAAATAAAACGCATACCATTGTCGTACCTATATTATGTACACATAACTATCATAATTTACAAGATAAATATATACACAGTGTTCGAATTTTAAATAAAGTACCTTCCACGAAAAAATCATAAATCCGCTAATTAATTAAAAATCGTATATACCTACGTCAGTGAGTGGTGGGTTTGCAGCGAGACTTCCTGCGTGACGATATCCAATGACGGCCATGACTTTTAGGTGCAATCTCGTTGACTAGTATCAACAGTATCGAAGTAATTCAACCCTAGACGTAGTATAGCTAGTCTCCGCCCACTTATATAATATACACACCTGAGACAAGTTTGCATTGATAATCTTAAGCGAGTGCTATTATTTTTCTCACATACGTCTGACAACCGTGCGACGACGAAAGTCATAATAATATTATCGCGAATGTCGCGCACCACTACAGCTCTATATTTAGGAGACGTTAAACTTTTTTTTTTTTATCCAAACAGCTCAGTGCTGCAGCAGTATTTGTGTATCGTCGAGAGTTTCCGATACTGCAGTATCACCTATAGCCCCATCACAGCTATATTAAAATTCTCGATAGTTGATATTGTATTTTTCATCTACACTTATTATTGTTCGACGCATCCATCGGCGTTTTTTATCACCAGTCCAAAAGTAGTCGTATCGGGCAGGACTAAATTTCTCTGCAGTAGGTTCGATTTTATCATCCCTGCGGAGCGGGACATAATATAGTGCGTTGAGAACCGATAAATCGTATTATATTCATCAAATAGAGATCGTCGACATGTCGACCACGATCGTTATCGGACTGCTCGTGCTATTGCAGTTGGCCTCTCTATCGTCGTCCGACGGACAAGGCGGATGGATTTCCGAAGTGGCTATCACTGACAGTCTACGGGGACCGTGGATATCCGAGCTTTTTCACCAGGCACTAAGCAATTTCACCATTCGACAAGTCGGAAGCTTCGCTTGCCGGACCCAATCCGACATGTACGACAGACATCTGAAGAACCACACCAGTTGGGCTGTCAGAAGTTAGTACCTATTCATATATATCATTAAAACAAAAAAGTTCTAAAACACTATACTAATAGTATTCAATTACATTGTATTTTTAAATAGTATGCTCTATAATAATGAATAATGATGTCCTCCGATATCTCTACAGTAAATCAACACATGTAGGTACCTATTATTTTTTCGTTGGTGTAATAGCCATATAAATTATATGGACAATGATTGTTCAATTTAACTATTTTTAAAAGTATTTTTTTAATCAAATTTTTTCAAACACACTATAATGGTTGTTTTTAACGATGCATTCAAATTAAACAAACATTATTACCAGCTTATGATATTTTTGATTATACTACTAGTGTCGAGTTGGAAAAATCCTAAGGCAGATCACTACAGTGGTCAGTTGGGTATTTTTGAATAGTTAAGTTTTCAGAGTAGTTGAAAATTAGTTAGGTTAATAATATAGTAAACTGAGTAATAATTCGTCTATCGTTATTCTGAAAAATATTTTTTTTTTAATTTCGGTACTCACAGAATGGGTACCGGAGGAAAGTGACATACAGTCGTTATATGATGGTACATCTCAAGTTATGAAAAAAAAAAAACGTTCATCTAACTCTTATATTTTTTATTAAATTTAAGTTTTATTACCTTAAAAAAGATAACTATTACAATTTGTGTTACTTTATTTTTAATTTAATAAATTTAATAATCTAAATGGTATCCAAAAAAACGACGAAGATAATTTTTTACGGAATTATTAAAAATAATTATTTAGTTTTATTAGAGCAAGTATGAAATATTGAATTATATTATTCTTATCTTAGATCCTGAGCTGAGCGATGAATGTATTGATTTTACAATGATGTGTGTTTTTTTTTATTTATTTATTAATTTTTTTTTGTGTTCATCATCACCTTTTGTTACAGTGAAAGTGCTTCAGTTTTATTCAACAGCATCTATTCTGGTAGGAAAGTGAATCCATTTGAGGGATCAAAATTTAAAATTCCCAATAATTTTCAAAACCAGTTTTTGAAAAAATCAATTTTGGTTTTCGTGTAACTCTAAAAAAAATGAAATTTCACTGAATGTTCTTGTTAGCATTTTTATACACGAAAACATTTTTGATGTTGAACTATTTATAGGCATACACAATTTTCGATAGTTATTTGTTTTTTTTTTAACTAACGTCGATAAAAAAATGTTCACTATGTAAAATAACTTGAAAATGTAATACACGGTTCCTCATAAGTTGTTGTTAGTGAAAATTAAAAAAAGTTGAGCATACGTCCACAATAATTTTTTATGAGAGTTTGAATTTAGAATTTTGACAAAATTCGTAAAAGTCACGAAATTTAGAAAATTATTATGGGTTCAAACATTTTTTTTTACATCTAAGATTTTTTTTAATTTTTAATTAGACCCAGACTGACATACCATCTTCGCTCAGAATCGTTTTTCGTGTACAATGATATCATATAATTGAATTAAAATTTAATACTATCCATTATAATGATAGAATAGACCAAAACTCTCCAAAACTCTGTGAGTAGGATTGTTAAAAAAAAATTCACAATATGTAGTAATTCTAATAACTTGCATGTAAACACATTTTATAATATTATACTGACTGCTTCATGTTTTATTTGAATATAATACGATTTAATATTTAAGAAAAAAATTGCTCATAAGTTATATAAGAGTACCGGTTTGGTGAGTGATTACATATCTTTTTCAAAACTTCGCGCTAAATGTAAAGTCTACTCAAAATCTGATTACTATCTCTACATCAATAACTTGCAAAAAAACTTAAAGGTATATCCTAAACATTTTTGGAAATTTGTAAATAATAATAAACGTAAAGTTAACTTCCTACCAAATTGCATGTATTTGTACAATGAAAAATTCGATTCTCCAAACCATACTGTCAATGCTTTTTCTAAATACTTCTCTAGTGTTTATGAAAATAACAATAATATTAATTTAAATTACAACCAGCAAAATCAACCAAAAGTACTCCAATCTCCTTTGCACTCATGTACAATTGATCTACTTGATATTTGTAATTCACTTAACTCACTTACTCCTAGCTCATGCCCAGGACCTGATTTAATTCCAAGTATATTTTTTAAAAACTGTCCTTATGTTCTTTCTACGCCTTTACTATATCAATTTAACATGTCACTATCTACTGGTACTTTTCCTGATGCGTGGAAAACTACTGATATTCGTCCTGTACCAAAATCATCATCTGACCTATCTAATATCTCCAATTACCGACCAATCTCAATACCTTCTATTATACCTAAAGTTTTCGAATCTATCATTGCTGAAAAAATCATACCTGTCTTAGCTAATGTAATCGTTGACGACCAGCATGGGTTCCGGCGCAAAAAAAGTACCACTACTAATTTGCTTGTTTTTCAAAACTTCTTATCTGATGCGCTTATGACTGGAAATAGTGTTGATGTTATTTACACTGATTTTTCAAAAGCGTTTGACAAAATTAATCAACAGATTTTATTTACCAAACTAGAACTAATCGGTGTCTGTGGTTCTATTCTAAACTGGTTAATTTCTTTTACTCAAGATCGTTTTCAAATTGTCTCTTATAAAGGTTATACTTTTACCCCAATACGTATTACATCTGGAGTTCCGTAAGGTTCCCACTTAGCTCCAATATTATTCAATATATTTATTAATGATATTAACTTTCAAAATTGCTCTAAGCTAATGTTTGCGGATGATCTTAAAATATTTCGTATAGTTAATTCACCACTGGACGCTGCCTTACTTCAATCTGAGTTGAATATACTCTATGACTTTTGCACTAAAAATTATCTTTCACTTAATATCAAAAAATGTCAGATAATGACCTTCTCAAGAACTAGATCGACTACTAATTATAATTATTTAATTGGTGGTGAAACTCTTCTACGCTCCACGGGTCCTATTAAAGACCTTGGTATTTTATTTGATAAAAAATTAAAATTCGATTGTCGTATTCAAATGGTTATTAATAAAACGCATCAAATACTGGGTTTTATTAATCGTAATTGTGCGGACTTTACTGATAAATTTGCTTTAAAATCGATTTACTGCTCGTTAATCCGACCCATCTGTGAATACGGTTCTATCATTTGGTCTCCCTATCAGTTAGGTCAAAAAACAAAATTAGAAAAAGTACAACAGAAGTTCTTACGCTTCATCTCAATTAAAAGCTCCATACCTAGAGCTCCTCACACTACCTATAATCCATTACTATCTTTATTAAACCTTCAGACGTTGGAACAAAGACGTATAAGTCTTGATGTATGTTTCTTCTATAAACTTTTGGCTGGTAATGTTGATTGCCCAGATTTTTCAAGCCGTTTAACTTTCTACATACCCACTTTAAACACACGTTCAACAGACACTTTTCGTTTAAGTCTACAAGTTACCAATTATGCAAATAACACTCCTTGTAATAGAGTAATGCAAACCGTAAATAAATTAAAAATTGATATGTTCAGCTCACCAAACATATATTCCTTCAAATTGTATTGCAATTCTTTAATAATTAATTCATAATGTACTATGTTATAATATTTTACTATAATAATTTTCATTGTTCACATTTACTATAAATAATATTTGAATTATATTATTAATGATTTCAATATTGTTGTTAATTGTAATTGGGCCTTGACCGTTTAATATTAAATAAATAAATAAATAAATAAATAAATAATAATATATTATTGGATTATAATGTATAAATGACAGAGTTTGATAACAGTCGATTGTATTGAACGTGTTTTCAATAACAAAAAGCTATTTGGTTACTGTTAAGAGGGCGCCACACCCGCATGCGTTGTCTCCGTCTTACAAACGAGTAACATACCAAATTTACGCTCAGCAGTTCAAGTTGTATGCCGTTAGCTTAGAAATTAGAGTGAATTAACCTATTATGAAACTTGATGGTAAGAACTTTATCTGTGTTTTGTTGGAAGTTTTTTTACAATAATTCAGTTTTTAAGTGAGTTATGAGCATTTTTAATTTACATTTATCATACAAGCATACCTCGCTTAAAAACTGAAGTATCGTAAAAAAACTTCCAACAAAACACGGATAAAGTTCTTACCATCAAGTTTCATAATAGGTTAATTCACTCTAATTTTTATGCTAACGGCATATAACTTGAACTGCTGAGCGTAAATTTGGTATGTTACTTGTTTGTAAGACGGAGACAACGCATGCGGGTGTGGCGTCCTCTTAAATGTAAATTCATTATAGGGAAAATAATAATAATAGTAAGTACAGCAACAGTATGTTGGATTTCTAGAATAATAACAGCAGTATACTATAATGACCGTATTTAGCATATTTGATTATGTATGATGTCTGTAGCTTAATCGAATAATTTCTCATTAACCAGAAATGCATAATAATACTATATTTATTATTCGTTTTCGTGTAGACATAAAATATATTTATGACTACGCTTTATTTATACTATATTTATGTGTAATGTTAAAAATGCATTGAATATAATAATATTATGTTGCTTAATATCCTAACCTTGTATAAAAAAGCCAACGTTATTTTATACCACTTCCACCTTGTCCATTTTGCATAAATTTTCGATGTGTTTTTTGTAAAGAAATTTATGAAAAGTACAATCCGTATTAGTGTAATGCCATGTATCAATATCAAATAATTTAAGACGACATTTCCGGAGTGTCTTAAACATTTTCGTGGTTGCCACTCTTCATTTTTTTTTAGTTAAACTAAATATGGAGACGGTGCGTGTTTTAGTAAAAAACATGTTTTTAATACAAGAAAAATACTATCTACCAGAAGGATAATCGGATTTCGTTATTTTTTTTTATACATAAGAAGAGGACATTTTGCAGGTATGATCAAAGAATGGTTTTCAAAATTATAACAACTATAGAATCTTAAATATACATTTGAATACCTAATTGCACAGCAGTAATATAATTCTTTTTCAAATGTATTTTTCTAGCACCATTTAAAGAAAATGAAAATTCGGGCTTTTACCTACATAAAAAAAAAATTAACAAAATCCGCATATATCTACAGTGCGTGAGAGTTTTCCCTGTGAAGTAATTTTCGTTGATGTAATACACCTACCCACCTATCAACCCCCCCTCCCAAATAAAAAGGTATTGAGAAATAGATTGGTGGAAAAGTATTATAATTAAGGTAGTAACAAGAATGAAAAATATTATTTTCAAATTGTATATACAATTATAAAAATCGGCATCAACGCCCATAAAATAGGATCTTATACAATTTTCAGTTATGCGACTGATATAAAAATAAGTGTTAATAATGATTCTTTAATCCCCAGTTTATATAATATGTACCTATCTACAATATAACACGAGAGTAATAGACATAAAGTGGTGTATTTTTTTTTTAGTGGTAGTTTTTCATTTCTTGACACTCCCTCTTGATCTTAAGAAAAAAAAATGATTCAATACATCAATACTTTGGAGGACAATTATTTAATTAACTCGTCGAGGAGTGCATAGGTAATCGGTTAAAGGTGAACTTATTGTTTTGATTTGCAATCGTTCAATGCAATGCTCAGTAGAATCTCATGATTTCTTCGCATCAACGATATATTTGGATAGTTTTTACTGAATACTTTATCCCCTAAAGCTGACGATGGTGATGAAGCGGCCACAATCGATAACTGAACTCAATATATGTATAATAATATGAAAACTATTTGATCATTTATAACACATGTCATACCGAATCGAATACTTATATGACTTGTGTTTGTTTGAACCATTATTTTTCAGTGGCGGAATCCTGGGACCGATATCCAACCGGCATACTGGCTGGCAACCGGTACCACATGGGAATTTACGACGAATGTGTGGACGTGCGCCATCCGGTGATAGGACAGTATTGCTTGTCCGAAATAAAACTAATCCCACCAACGGGCAAAAATTACAGTTTCAACAGAACGGAGAATCTAGATGATTTCGGGAACAAAGATGCGTGGAAAACCGTACTCGGAGTATGTGCAATTGAAATATATTATAATCTTATTTATTATTAAATAATGAAGGTTTTTAAAAGTACCAATTTAAAATACATAAATGTATGGTTCACTAAAAGAAAACGAGTTTGTAAATTGTTGACGATAATCAAATTAGTTGAACAGCATGGTTTGCTTTTATAATTATAACTACAAAATAACCAAATTTATTAAGCTTATATTTGTAAGCTATCCGAAGAACAAAATATATTTTATACAAACCCAAAAATATTATTGGAGAATAATATGACTTTTGGATAATATCAAAAATGTATTTGATTTGTACCTACAAGTATGGAGTTTTAGACTTTATGATACTTATTTTATTATATTACATTAGTTTGTCGTTTTATATGACACCAACCAAAAAAAAAAGTTACTTCAATATTATACCTGCCCGAAAAGAAGTAACCTCCAACACCGATATGTGTCTAGTCTAATAATATGATAAATAGGGACTATAACTTAAATACGCTTTAGGTACATGGTAATATAGTATTGTAACAAATAAAAATACTCACAGTTTTCCTGCAGGAAAATAAAATATATTATCAGTGTCAGATTGTGAATTAAGTAACTGTTCAAAGTTAAAACGGCAAACAACTTTTAAATCACTTAAAATCAATTCAAATGTATTGGTAATGATCTCCACCATCAGGCTCTTCTTATAAGTGTCTTTCTAAAATGTTTGTGGCGCCGTAACATAGACTTATAGTTTTGTTTTAATACCTTAATATTATATATGTATAGGTACATGCAAAACTATAATATGTGATTTTTGAATATTGAACAGTGTTGGCAATCTAGCCTAAGGACCTAGCCTACATTCTTGGTAAACCAAAAATAGCTTGAATTTTTTATTCTTTTTGAATAAATTTAAATTGTGCATCTCTAATACACCAGACAACAGTTATAGAAGTCTAAAAAAGTTATAATTTTAGTAAATACATTATTGACGGGGACCACAAACACACCATATTTGATATTGATTTGAAATACCTACATCATATTGTTTCAGTGGGGCGATTATCCGGATCAAGTGCAACGAAATAGTTTGAGTTTAGGAATATGTATTCCGGATTCTTGTACGGCATTCGACTTGCAAACGTCACTGCAAAACAAACTGAACTCGGCATTTGATCCAAAGGAGTTGATGGCCGTCGTCAAAGTAGATCCAATAATGTGCACGGTCAAAGGAGACATGTATCACTACAATACCGCTTACTACGTGACTAGGTAATTTAATCATCAATATTAATTTAATCATATTTTACTTAATTTTAATTATTTATTCGCTTTTTCTTTTGAACTATACAAGCACACACACACACACACACACACACACACACACACACAAACATACTAATGATCGCTTACTATGCACACAAGGCCTACATGAACGCAATTAGAAAATTGTATATGTTGGACACCCTGATAACTGTCAATCATTTGAAATCCCAAGATAGAATCGATTTACTCATCCATACGCTCAGTGCAATCTGGAGCTAAATGGAGCATCGAGGATATCATATTTTGTGCCCTTATTCAACATAATATTTGGTTTAAGCCCTAGGGAAGCTAAGCTATTAGTGTTTTAGTAAAAAAAAGCCAGTGATCGAAGCGTCTAAAATTTGTTTGTTAGGTAACCTGCACGGCGATGACTAAGTAAATCACTTGACCGAATACGATGACAATTGACTAGCAAGGATACAAACGAGTGACATTAATGGGCAAAGGAAAAACGTTTAAAAACGGGAAAATGTATATTAAATACAAATTTTCAGTATCAAGGGGGTGGGGGGGGGGGTATAATTCCTACGAAGCCGGTATATAATATTACTTCACTTCATGGATTATATATATTAATATATTATTATAAACAAAATGAAAATTAATTTAATAAAACTAAATAAACTTTACAAATTAGTATTATATGTTGTTTCAATAAATTATAAAAAACTATTTATAAATAATTTTAATATAAACATTCATTGTTTAGATTCTCAATAGCTAATTTGTTAATAAAGTTGGTACCTATTTTTATTTTATTAATTATTAAAAATGTTATGTTTATAGTATATTATATTATGAAGTTTTAATAGGTTTCTACATGGCTTCACACATTTTAGAATATTCAGTACATATTTTCAGTTTTATAGTGATTTTATAGTGCAAAGTTAAATATTAAAAGTTTAAATAACTTATGCCTATTGATACATAATTTGAGAGAAGAATATATTATTAGGTATATTAATAATTCTATATCACTGATAACTATATATACATTAGTTCACTAAATTTTGAACAGTATAATATACTATGAAGTATGTATTATTGAAATAGTTGAAAATTTTAAAGTTAGAATAATTATTCATAATCGAACAAATTTTAGACACACAAATATGTTTCTTATACAAATTTCCTAATAAACATATAAAAATATAAACCATAAATTGGTTAAATAGGCAAAATAATTAATTGATAATAATTTACATCATATTATTAAATATATTTAATATTTTAATAGTGACAAATATAAGGAAACCACACTTCACAAACCATATTAGAGAGCTAAATACTCTTTGAAGTTTTATTGAATCTTTTGAAAATTGGACATCCATCGACATAATTATTAGAAAAACAAACTAAAATAATTTGATTTTGATTTTTTTAGTGTTGATTGCTTTCCTTTGTTAATAGTCATATCAATAAATAGATAAAAAAAAAAAACTAAATAAATACAAGAACATAATACCCAATCTTAATTGAAGTACATATTTCATAATGCTACAACGAACAACGATGTTTGGAATTTTATCCGACCGCCATGAAATATTTAAAAAAGATATAAAATATGTTATTTCAATAAATTACTAAAATTATAGACGCACATAATATTAAAGCAACTATAAATGTATTTCTTCATTTGGTGCCTGTAATGAGAGCCACCCCATCCCTACCCACAAGTATGACTAACGTACGTTAATATCACAATATTATACACGATTTTCACATTTTATTTTTTTTAAATAGTTTTAGGATGTAATTTTTATTAAAACTGTTTGTAATTATATTGTTTCAGCATTTTCTTTTTACTTATTGTTTTGATTTGTCATGTCACAACGTTACATCATTTTATAAGAATATCTTGCTCTAAAATGTCAAAAGGAATCAAAAGTAAGTGATTATCATTTACCTATTATCAATTCCTTTTTTTTTGTATTTAGTAAATTTTTACCCGGCTCATTTGAGTATAATTTATTTAATTTTATCAACAGGTGAAAATGTCAATTCATTTTGCAAAACATTTTCATTTATTGAGTCAGGCAAAACATTGTCAAAATTCGATAAGGACAACGAATTAAATGCACTGTATGGTTTTAAATTTCTAACGATGATGGTCGTTTTGTTGGGTCACCGATTGTTTTATGTAATAGGAAATCCTATGAATAACCCTAAATACATAGAAAATGTAAGTCACCAAAATATTTATGAAACAAATTATTTTTATGTTAGAGTTAACATCCTTGTCAGTTACAGGACCATAGACAGGGGGAGGGGGGATTCAAACCCAACCTTATATCACTGAAATTATGTATATTTATTTCGAATATTTAAAACAACTAATATAAATTTAATTTTTTTGGTTTAAATTTTCATCAACAATATAGTAATAGATGTTTGTGATGTTATCGGTTATAAATAAGGTATTTCGTGTATCGACTGAAGGTCGCACTGACAAATTATTACTATCAGCGTAACTGTTTTGTTACTGTGATAACTGATAAGACTGCGATTTAAGATACATCATAGATATATAGAATAATATATTTTATATATGTATTAGCTTAAAAGCTTTACATTTATACAGGGTTTGTTCCTCACGTGTTTTGTTGTGCATATTTTGCAGTTTTTGAAGTAATGTTTTATTTTATATAGTATAGGTAATTTGATTTTTTCTAGGATGGCGTGGGACAGTAAAACATGTTCTTTCATATGATAAATTTGAAATTATTACTGCTATATCAGTACTGTGTTTATTTTAACAGTTTATATTTTACTGCCATATATGTACCTACACCAACTTTTGAAATTACTGCTATAGCAGTAGTTGTCCACGAATGTGTTGAGCAAATTATTTGATCTGAGTTAATAAGAAAATCAAGCATCTATCCTATGCATATAATATGAGTCTGTTATTATATAGAGTATGGATACTAAATTAACTTCAGAGAAAATACTTAGAAAAAAAAAACTTAAGAAATACTTTTTAGGGTTTAAATTAAAATACAATACATGCGACCGCGAACAAATATCGTTAAATATAACATTTGTAATTATATTTGGTAAAGTGTGTTACATTTTGTATAATTAATAAATTACTTCATCAATATTACAGATGTATCTCAACGGACCTAATATAATATTGACTAGTACGAACATAGTCGATCCATTTTTTTTCATAAGCGGTTTCCTCATGCACCTGAATGTTTCTAGGTCAATTCAAAAAGCAAAGGGTTTGAGTCAATCAGCTTTGAAAAAAATTACATCACCAATTATCCACCGAGTAATGAGGTTAGTCACAACGAAGCATTTAATTGGGCCCAAAATATCATACACTATTTTATTATCCCCTGAACCACCACTCGTATCATATTTGTGATTTAATAAACATAACTGCTAACCTAACCTATCTAATTTCATCCAAATTTGAACTTGAAATATCTATAAGTTAACACTGTGTTTATATAATATTTTTTAGATTTTTTGGTTATAAATTCACGAAGAATATTTGTTCACGTTTACAATCGCATTAGCTATAAAATTTGGACATTTTATAAATATTAAATTAAAAAATAATTTACAAATTGTCGATATTTTGATTAAATCTAGTCGACATTTGAACTATTAATGCTTTTTAAAATACCCTAGGTATAATATTTTTCGATTGTTAATATAATTACTTATGAGGAACCTTTTATTTAGTTGTCAATCTTTTCGACCCAACAAAAAATTCTATCATCCCCTCCCCCAATCCTAACCACTGACTTACTTACTATAAATGCCAATTTATTGACATATAATGTGAAGTAATACCCATGAATCGTCCCACAGAATATTACCGGCGTATTGCGCAATGATGGCGATCACAGCACACATCGTACCCCACCTAGGAGACGGACCACTGTGGCCACAGAAAATATGGGACGAAGCCGAAATATGCAAAAACTATTGGTGGACCAATTTGTTGTTCATAAGCAACTTAATCGACGTCAAGTATGCAGTAAGACGTGATTATATATTTTTACTTAATCGATTATTACAATATCAAAACAATCGAATTTTATTTTTATTTATACCGGCAGACAAAATACAGGTCGAATGCGGAATACCTAATTATATTTTATTGGGTATTATCATACCTACGTATGTATTTTATAATATCTAATTGTTGTGCTTAAATGTAATGATGCAGTGCCTCATAGTAAGCTGGTACGTATCATGTGACGTTCAGTTTTTCGTAATTGGAGTCATAATTGTTTACGTTTACACGAAGAACACCAAATACGGGATTGGATTACTCGGGACAATACTGGGTTTGTGTGTATGCGTGCCGTTTGTAGTGACTATTTTGTCAAGAACAGACGGAATACACAAAATGCAGATTCCGTAAGTCAAGTTTACACTAATGTTAATAAATAATAATTGATACTTTAAACCCAATGAAACCATACATTTAATTGGGTACTGGAAAATGTAGGTACTCATATAGTATTATTATACTTATGAATATGAAATGTTAAGAAATCAAGGATTTATTTTTATACAATCAGCGGTAGGATTTTAGACTTATAGTATTTGAACAAAAAATAACAGACTTATCCGTGAGCTGTCTTCGTAGAAAAATAACTATTTGTATCATTTATATGCGTCTGTTAATATATAATAAAATTATATACAAAGACAAAAATTACAGTTTGATTTAACTGTATCGCCGATGTTCTATACTCATAAGTACGCTACAGTCATTTGACGACAACACATTCATAATACAATGTACTACTTTCCAAAATTATACTTTTAATCTTGTAAGTCAATATTCTAGTTATTGTCAAAACGAAAAAAAACTAAACTAATAGTGGAAAAACAATATTTTCAATACGTAATTTTTAGATATTAAATAAACACCTATCATAAAATCTAGATACTAATAAAGTGATATAGTTTGTCTGAAGAGGATGTCAGGGTACGATTTGTTTTTTTTCTTTCTGGGCCAACAAACCAAATTTACATTTAGCAGATTCAACTCAGTGTTATTACAATATCAGAGAAAAAATTATTAAAATTTAAGTTCAGAATAATACTTGTGTTCCTACGTTGACTTTTTATAGACATATAGGACACTATATTTTATTAGGTACCCGCCTATAGTAAAATGTAATATAGACATTTTGGTATATATATTTTTGTTTAACTATGGGTATGTAATAAACTAATATTTATTAAATATTTAACTAATTTCAGATATTTAGAAAACTTAAGAATTTTCATATCGTTAAATAAAACGTATAGATTGAGTTACATGCGAGCCACGCCTTTTTTCTTCGGTTTAGCCATGAGCTTCATCGTGGAAAAGTTGAAGCAAAATAAAGTTCAATTTTCACAAGTAAGCCCATAATTTACAGACTCTCATATTATATTTATCAATTTTTAATTTTAAACAGTTTGAATTTTGTTAATTTCATGTATAGATGACAGTTTACATTGGAACATTAGTTGCTATTACAATTGGCATTTCTGCTCAACTTTACGGTGGCAAATTCTACAATCGACAGTTACCTTATTATCCTTTGGAACATGCTTTATATTCCATCGTTTGTCATAGCACGTGGACACTTCCAAGCATGTGGATTTTAATTTGCTTGTTCACTTCTGGATATGGTAATATACATTTTATTAAATACATGGATTTTAGGTAGTATATAACTCATATCTTAATAATAAGGTAAATCTGAAAATCTTTGGGAAAAATGCAGATTTTGTTTTTCAAGTACATCTTATCACCATACTACATAATACTTCATAATCGTCAATATTTTCTGTACAGAATTCTCAAAAAAAAAAAAATGTTTTTACTTTCATTGTTTCAATAATGAAGCTTTAAGCTTGTTTTATAAATGTAAATTTCAACGCGCAATAACATTAAAAACCGTGACATTTAAACCGATTTAATTGTGAGACAAATATACCAAATTTAATATAATACCAATATAATATAAATGTACATTAATTTATGAAAAATCATAAATATACAACAAAGTGCAAGTTCCTATATTCTTTATAAGTACATTGTGATTTTTGAAGTGATTGCCTAATATTATAGCTGAGTTGTAAGAGGGCAGAGTCACCCCCCCCCCTCCCCCAGCAGCTGATATATTATTCTAAAAAAACCTGAAATGGCAATGAAAAATAATAATAATAGATATGTTTACAAGATCGTCAAAATTGAGAATTATTTTGTTAACATAAAGGCTGACAGTCTTTTCTCATAACTGTTTTTTGTATGCGATATTTTATCAAATTAAAAAGTTAAATAGTTTTAATTAATTCAAATGAACAAGTCCATTACATTGACCTACCCAATGATGATTGATGAGTGTAACATAACACCTATCTTGTATACATACATCACTTCACTCAGGATCTAAAATCAAATAAATTGTTTTTGTTTTACAGGTCCCCTTTTAAAGTTATTTAATAACAGAATTACTGTGACTTTGGGGAGACTTTCATACTCAGTGTTCATGGTGAACGTCACAGTCATGATGATATCTCAAAGTTCCCAGAGATTACCCATTTACCTTTCACTAAAATCTGTGGTAAGATGATTTTTTTGTGTTGATACATTTAAAATTTAAAATTGACCGATTAGTTCAAAATTAATCTAGATGAGTCTCGTGTTTGGATACCAGACCACTGAATTAAAATAATTTAATGGTATGAAACTCGTTCGTTTTCAGGTCGATGCTTGGATATATGATACGTTTAAGAGTTATGTGATGGGCTTGGCGTTATACTTGGTTATCGAAGCACCGTTTGCTAAATTGGTTAAACCATGGGTTTAACAAGGGGTAAATACTATTGTTGTATTATGTTGGAAAAAATTAGTTTTGCTGTTAACTCAAATATTTTCAATTATTAAAATGTTTAATAGTTACTATTGTAGAGATGAGTTCTTGAACAGAGAAACACTCCTTATCATACATCACCTGAAAGTCATACCATCGTATTACAACTTTTGTACTAGATGTATAAAAAATAATTTATAATTTTATACATTCTCTTATTACTGTCTTATACCTATTTATTTTTTATTTTTAATTATTTAATTTTATGTATGGCACACATATAATTTGAATTACAAGAAAAATGTAAAAACTATTGCAATCACACTTTGTTGCACAGATTATATTGTAAGACATTAAGCTCAATAATTTATTATAATATTTGTAAGTATCATTCATGTTGTAAATTTATAATAAAATATATAACTGAGAAATTAAAATGTTATTATTATAGTAGCAGCAAGTGTTATTTATTCAAAAATATCATACCTGTAATTTATCCATGAGAATAATAATTGTCTGTATTATTATTCTTACTCTGCAAACTAGTCGTTTTTAATGATTTGTGTTTAGGCTATTATTACGCTGAAAGCAGTCACGGCTTGTCTTTGTGTGTGTAGTAAATTATCATAAGTGTGTGTTTACGAACCATCAATCACACATAGATATCATATATATTATTTATACTCATGCACATGTAATTTGTATTCATAAGATTAAAAACTATTAAAAATATTGAAAAATATGCTTCGACTGATGCAAAGTAAGATTTTTTTACCAAATCGAAAATCTTTACATTTTTAAACCGGACCATTAGAATAATTTACATTTTTTTCAGGTCGTTTTTCTAATAAATGTATAGGGTTTGCAAAGATTTTCAGTTTATTATTTTGTAAGTTATATTTGTAGTTATATCTTACCCACCATATTATGTATAATTATTTTAGTATACGAAAGAAACATTTACCAATATATTATACTAATTTATCATATACTATGAGTAATGAGTTATATGTAATTATTATACAAGTATAGGTAATCCACATATTAAAATTATTACTACGCTATAACTGCCATAATTGCTTGCACTATAAGGAATAAAAATGGTGAACATTTCAAGTATCTACTGTTATATGTTTTTTAAATTACAAAAAAAAAAATCATTTGATGAGAAATCATTATTTAAAATGTGAATATCCAATTTCATAAAAAACGCAAGAAAGTCGTTGTCAGGTAAAGTTTAGATCAAATTCAAATATGTTATCTAAAATTGTACAAGAGAAGTAGGTTTGATAAAATGATTAACAAAAGATTGAAAATGTTTTAAAAAAAAAAATTAAAATTAGTGTAATGCGTTATTATCATGACGTACGTTCAAGTACGAAAGCTCTCAACCATTAATTTTATACAAAGGTACTCAATAATGATCATTTACTACGCACACATTTACAAGACCTGCATGCACACACAGAAAAGATTTTTTTAACACTTCTATGAAGTCTCGATGAAGTAGAAAATTAGTTATTACTATTGTTCGGAAGCTATATACTAGCTAAAAACAGAAAATATGCAAGAAAAAAATGTGAAATATTATGTAAGAAAAAATTATAATTAATAAGTTGGATTTTCATCAAATCATAATTTTACTACACTATAACTGCTATAACTGCTTACACAATCGGCACTAAAAAATTGTGAAAATTTCAAGTATCCGTGGTTATTTGTAAAATATTTTTGGTATTATGCTCAATTCTTATTTTGTAATTCTAACAATAACTTATGAGTCATGAGGAACTTTGTATTTAAATTTCAAATTTTAGGTATGAATATTTAAATTTGCATACGTTTTTACTTTCAAAATAAATTACAAGTATTCATGATTTTGAAAATTGTATTAATGCAAAGAAAATTATGTATATTAAAAACTTTTGGTGTCAATTTCAAGAGAATTTTTCCGTTTTCATTACATTTTCTATAGGTTTAACTGATTATTTTGAAAAAATACTTAGAATTTTCGTTATTTTTATCCATTAAAAATACCAACTAGATCCAATTTTTTAATACAAACATCGCTCAAAGTAGAAAATCAAAGTATTTTTGTACTATAAATCATGTAAATTTATACAAAATAAGAACATCATTATAAATTCAATACAATCGCTTTATCCGCTCAGCAGTCAAATTTAAAAAAGACGAATTTTATTTGAAAGATCTAAAAGTCGTTCGCTATTTATAAAAGTATACATTTTCATTGCGCTTACAATCAATATCATTTGATATAAAAAATAATAATTCATATAGGTATTGGTGAGTCCACGCTCCGACAGTGTTGTTGACTAAAAATTATGAACGTAAATATCGGTGGTGGATCAAAACTGCAATCGTTATACATGGTATAATATTATAGGTATAACATCAAACGGAAATTAGCTCAAGCAATAATACATAGAGTACCTAATGACACTATGATAAAAATGATATAAAAGATTATTTAGCGATTGAAATTTATTATAATTAATTTCGCAGTCTGATTTGGGAGTGCCATTATTCAATATACGTTATGAATCTTTAATTCTTTGTCACCCAAAGGTTACGTTAGGTAAATTAATTGTGATATACTTTTAAAAAAAGAGTTAAGTTGAAAAATTATCATGTATTGCATAACAGTAATGAGTGTTTCCTGTCATTCAATTATTGTGATATATTTTGCACAGTCTAATACTCAAATATACTGCTAATATCAACCTAGCTCGAACTGATCCTCTCCGATTATAATTTATGAGAAACCACTTGTAATGTCACTCTCACAATAAGAATAAAACATCCAATGCTGTGTAGTCATAATATACTCGTTTGTAAAATATAAATTACATTTTTCGCGAGTCTCCGTCCCTTAGAGTGTTTTGTTTTTCTGTAAAAAAACTACCTTTAATGAATACAATAATACAAATTTAGTGTATGATACAAATCTATTATCTTATTATTATGTCACGACCATCGCTGCTGACGATCGTTTTGTTTGCGTCCGTGTCATTGCTGATCGGTCAGCTGCAGTCGGCCAACGGTGATGGAACCGACCATAATTTTCAGCGGGACACAACCGCCGACCTAATACCAGGTACATGGTTGTCCGATCTGTTTTACCGGGCGCTGGCCAACTTCACCTTAGGGAGAGCGGACAACACGGCTTGTCGCCGACAATCCGCCGTGTACGAGGAACATTTGAGCAACCACACCAGTTGGGCCGTCAGAAGTGAGTGATGATCAATTATTTCATATTAGTTGCAATTAGATGACGAACTGACTGTATAAAATAAAATCAGAATGAGGATTGAATTGAGAGTTTGTAATATTTGCAAGTCGCAACCCTCCGATAAATTGCCGATACCTATTGCGGTGAAGAGTTTTTGAAAACTTGAAGATTTTACAATGACACAGAATATTATTTCAATATCAACAATATTATACAGTTTCAATTCCTTTTTCGTTATTTACATTTAGTACTTATGCTGTGAATAACAGTTTAAAATTGTTTACATCATAATATCATATAATGTAAGAAATTAGTTTAAAGAATTTAATAATCCTATAAACATTAGTTATAGTTATTATTATTAATCATGTGTATAATATTAATAAAACAACAAAAACACTTCGTCGAAACGACGACTGTGGGCTGCGGCAGTGAAATTATAAAACGCCTAAATGTTGCCCCCTTAAACAATGACCTTAAGTAAAATTTTACAATTAAGATCTTGCATATTTTTTATTCTTTTTGGAAAAAACCATATGAATTAACTTTTTTAAATTATAAATTAACTTTAGTGTGACAACTAATAATAACGAATTAATTTTTTCAGTGCAAGAATCCTGGGATCGATATCCAGTCGGTTTACTTGCGGGAAATACATATCAAATGGGAGTCTATGACGAATGTGTGGACATACGATATCCAATAAAAGGACAATACTGTTTATCGGAAATAAAATTAATTCCACCTTCCGGGAGAGATTACAGCTTCAAAAGAACGGTAGACTTTGACGATTTTGGTAATAACCATGCGTGGAAAACCGTACTAGGGGTGAGTTACGTTTTTTATGACCTATAGAAATACTCAAATATATTAGCATAAAAAGGATCTTATTCCGCATGTAATCTTTATACTAGATTAAAAAATGCATCAAAAACTTGTGTTGATCATTTATTTATAAAAAATGTTTCTAATACAAATGTCAAAACGTATGTTCTTCGTAACAGTATAACCAACCATTTTAGTTTAATTTTAAATATTAATATTGAGGATGTACCAGGAAATTATAATAATAAAATGATATGAACAAAAAATATGTTAGAGTTAATTAATTACACTTAAATTTATTAGTACAAATAGAAAATTGGAGTTCAATATTCGAAGGTAAAACTGTTAAGCAGTCAGTAGATTTCTTTAATGATAAAATGAATGAATTTATTTATTTATCTTCCAATGAAACTCAATGTAACTATAAGACAAAAAAAAAATTGAAATTGAAACCTTATAGCTTACAGCTGGTCTTGTTACCTCAATAAGGATAAGGGAAAACATTTATAAAAAAACCTTTAAACAGCCCTTTAATGTTACCCTAAAAAACCTATTATATTTCGTTCAGAAATATATTGAATAAATTAATAAAGTTGGTACGAATATAAAAAAAAATATAGGAATGTTTTAAAGAAGCATCTAACACAAAAACAAATGAAAAAACCAATGTAAATTAAATACTCAATGAAAATGATAACATAACCTCTAACAAACACGAAATTGCTAATATTTTTACTATATTTTTTACTAATATGGGAGCTGATATTGCAAATAGTATTAATAATAGTAATTTTAAACGAAAAAAAATAGAATGAACTCAACAATAATTGTTATATATCTAACTCTATTTATTTTAAGCAAATTTAACCAGGTGAAATAAGATACCTTATTAGTAAATGTAAAGAACACTCCTCCTTCTATGAAGAGTCTTTAACTAATTTTTGTTATTAAAAAAAACGGCTATTAATATTATATCACCACCGTTATCTATTATATTCAATAAATGTTTATTAGTGGGAGAGTTTCCGATGAGTTACAAAAAATCAATTGTTATACCACTACCGAAAAATGATAACATTAAAAACTGTACTAAATGTAAACCTATAACATTAACGTGGATAATAACTAAACAAACTACTAGAAAAAAGTGTAAAAATAAGACTGACAGAATTCTTAGATAAAAATAAATTTTTCAGTAAAAATCAATATGGATTTAGGAACAAACTATCTACTACCATGTCAAAAAAATTATATCAGATCAATTGGATTTAAAAAAAGAAGTAGTTGGGGTGTTTTTAGATCTAGAAATGGCATCTGACTCTGTTGACCATGATATCTTAATCAAAAAACAAGAATACTGCGGAGTGAGATGTGTCGAACCAAGTTTTTTCAAGTCATATCTTACAAATAGGTATCAAATTGTTAAAATCAATAATGCATTTAGTAATGAGTCACTTATAAAGTACTCTGTGCCTGAGGGCTCAGGGGCACAGTGACGGGGTCTGTTTCTGTTTACTATTTACATTAATGGACTCCTTAATCAAAATATTGATGGTGAATAATTGTGCTTTGCAGATGATACAACTATTACATTTAGCAGTGACTGTTTGAATAGTATTAAGAAAAAATTAATTGTTTGACTAAAAAATGTTAAATTTTGGTTGGATAATATTTCACTTCAAATTAATTATGATAAATCCACTTTTTTAAATTTCAAATTTAATAGTTATCATAATCCGGAGTTGAATACATACATAATACATGAAAATTCTTGAACATTTGACACTAGTCTTTCTTGCTGCTCTTCAATTAAAAAGGCGCAAGCACAGTTAAATATTTAGACCTGTATCCAAATGTCCGTTTAAAATAACCTACTTCATTAAAGTAATAATACAATTGCCAATTGGGTATTAAAGTATTATACGAAAACTAAAAATTTCGTATAGTTTAATCAACATAATACATACTAATATGCTACGCTGTTTCAGTGGGCCGATTACCAGGACCAAGTGCAACGAAACGTTTTTCATTTGGCAGTATGCATACCAGGCACTTGTTCGGCGTTAGACCTACAGACATCACTACAAAGCCAATTCGACGAGGCGTTTCCCTCCGAACAGTTCAAAACCGTCGTCCGAGTTGACCCGATAATGTGCAGGGTCCGTGAAGATACGTATCCCTATGACACACCTTATTACGTTACCTGGTAAGCAATGTGATTATTATTACTCTGTCATTAATCACAAACATGGTTGTAAAGTTTGAAATTGCACAACAAATTATTAAAGTTCCTACAAGTTATTTTTACCTGACATTATTAATTACCTATGTCCACTAATTTTTAAAATTTCAAGTCGATATTATAGAGGAGACTATAAATTAAGTATAGGAAACGCATTAAAAATTATAATCATACAATTCTATTTTTAGGTGGACATTTTCACTACTCTTTCTGCTTTGTTGCGGTGCGACGTTACACCATTTTATAAGATTATCGTACCAACAAAACACAAATGAAAGCGGTGAGCAACAAACGAATACTTGTAGCCTGTAGGTACCCATTTAATAATGTATACCCACAATGTATTATTTTTAATGTGTACAAATTTAAAATTTCATCCCTGTTTATAATATTTAATGATTATTTCTCCATATTTAGGTGAAATGTCTGGTTCATTTCTCTACGCATTTTCATTTATCGAGTCAATAAAAACATTATGGAAATTTGACAGAAACAACAAATTAAATATGGTCCATACCTTAAAAGTAATGACGATGCTTCCTATTATCTTTGGACATAAAATTTTTATTTTGGTATCGAATCCCATCAGTAATCCGAAGTTTATTGAAAATGTAATTTGATAAATGTGTAGCTAGGTAAGAAAAATATTATATAATTATTTAACAATCTCAGATATACCTCAACGGATCAGCTTTGCTGTTGACTGGTATGAACATTGTTGACCCATTTTTCTTCTTGAGCGGTTTTATCGTGTACAAGAACCTTTTTCGAGAATTTAAAAAACCAAAGGCAGAATCGGTTTGGAGGACACTGTCGTTACCAATCATCAAGCGAATAATAAGGTATTATAAAAATAGGTATTATTATAAACAAATTTTATATTTTTTTCAAACGATTTCGGTTAATTTTCAGTGTTGTTTTTAAATACTCTATAAGAACCAACAGACGTTTTATTTGATAAACTCAACAGGCTTAATATGTCATCAATAACGGAATATTGATTATTTTTAATAATTTTCATTTCGTTGAAGGATGTTACCGGCTTATTGCGCTATGATGGCGATCACTGCACATATCGTACCCCATCTTGGAGACGGTCCGCTGTGGCCAAATAAGTCCTGGGAAGAAGCCGAGATATGTAAGAACTATTGGTGGACCAACCTGTTGTTCATAAGCAATTTCGTTGACATCAAGCATCAGGTAATACGATGTATTTTAGTCTACAAAAAAACAATAACATTTATATTCATAAATGTTTAATGTTGTATACAGAAGTAGTAAAAAGTATTCAGAACCGCCGATTACACAGGCATAGCTAAGACTGAAACATGAACAATAGTTGTACTCCTGTAAATAATAATTTACAATTAACATAAATCCATTTTCCAAATTAAAATTCATCCAACCAAAGTCCGATAATTTGGTCTTGATAACAATTTATTGGTTACTGACTGTATACAGTCCCCTTGAATATATTTGTAACAATGTAACCTAAATATTTAATATGTATTTTTTTATTCTAGTGCCTCCATATGGGCTGGTACTTATCGTCTGACATTCAGTTTTTCATAATCGGAGTTATTGTTGTTTACGTTTACACGAAAAACCCGAATTATGGAATCGCATTGCTTGGGCTGATAATTGGTTTGTCCATTTCCGTGCCGTTCATAATCACGTTTTTGACTGGAAGAGATGGAATGGATAAATTTCTTATTCCGTATGTTCAGTATTTTGATCACTTAAAAAAAGATTTTTCAAAAAAAAAAACTAATTATTTTATATTTTGTTACCCTTTTTTGTGTCTCACTGAAGTCGGTTTTCAGCGGTACCTCGTTTAGAGTCACTATAGTCAGTGTTTTCTCATCGGATTTGAAATGTATAGTATGACCACTTTCTGTAGGTATCACAAATTATAATTTAAAAATATCATTAATGGTTTTTTTTAAAAATTAATTTTTATTTAAAATGAAAAAATATGTGGTAACGAAACCTATCAACAACCGATTCTAGGAAGTCCCCCCCTCCCCCGAATCATTGGACGATTTCCGCCCAATGGACCTAATGTATTAATATCCCTCCGAACAAAAAATTAAGACTAAAAATATTAAACAATAATATGCAATGCAAATCAATATATGTACAAATGATTAAATTAATACATAAATATAATTCAATAATACGTTATAATAATACTAATATTGCCACTTGCCAGTACAAAATTCAAATAAATAAATATTAAATAATATACAAATAATTTACTATTATTATTTTTATTTATTATACGGGCTGAGCTCTTTTTGCATGAATGTACAGCTGATTAATTAACAACATATATGAGAACAGTAGATATATTAGTAATTAATAAATAAGAAAGAACAAAGGTAGTAGAAATACAAAAAAGAAAGAAGGATAAAAAATAAAAATAGAAAACAACAAAAAAAATATTAAAAGAATACAAATAAATACATTTACCTACTGCTCATGAGATTGGCATTTGAGATTTTTGCCGTTTAGGCAAGCGACTATCAATGTATTTTGGTGTAGGATGGGCCGATCTGTAAATTAAAGGTCAATAAATGTAACAGCCGCGTCTTACATTGCGAAATATCGAATAATAGCAAAAACAAATTTTTACGATAATTTTTGTATGGCAACAGCCTATCATTGTAATTATTGAATAATAAAATTGTATATTAATAATACGGTATGTTATACATGATAATACTACCTATATGGCTATACAGTATAATATATATTTAGTATTGTATTTTTCACAGTTACTTATTGTACCCGAGAAATGTATTATCGTTAAACGAGTCGTACCGACCAAGTTATATGCGGGCTACACCATTCTTCGTCGGTTTAGCCATGGCGCGTGTAGTGGAAAAACTGATGGAAAGAAAAGTGAAATTTTCTCAAGTAACTACCTTATACTAGCTTATTAGTAGCTAACTAAAAATGTTATGGTGTGTTTCACAAAACATTTTTTGGCGATTTTACTATTCTTTACGTATATTGGGATAATGATTTGTATTAATGTTCTATTTGTGTGTCGTGTATATAGACTGCGGTCCACGGCGGAATATTCGCCATTTGCACGTTAACTTTATGGACTCAGTTTTACGGCGCCGTATTCTATACGAGGGATAGACCTTATTATCCGTTTGAACATGCCTTGTACTCAACGATCTGTCATTGTACGTGGCCGGTAGCGGGCATATGGATTACCATAAGCTATTTTACGTCTGGCTTCGGTGAGTAAAAGTATTTATTTAGTTTGAATTGTATTTACGATCACAATGACCTAACCAATTATAGTATAATATACAACGCAGGGCAACAACTCTATTAATAAATCGAGACATCAAATATTTTTGTAGGTCAACTTGAAAATTTGTTCCGCAGTAGATTTGTTGCCATCATGGGTAAACTCTCATATTCCGTTTCGTTGGTGAATTTCACTGTAATGTACACATCTCAGAGTTCGCAGAGGTTACCTGTTCAGCTGTCAGCACTCAGCAATATATGTGGTAGGTAAGAAACTAATATATGATATGGTTAGGTGTGTATATGTCGGAAAAACGTCGATTGTAAAAAATCAAAATGTTTTTTTAATCGTCAAGTCTCCCATTAAAAACTGATAACTTTTAAACTATAATAATAATAATTTTATCGCAACATCACAAGTTGTTACATCAAAATTTACAATTATAAATACAATATTGCAGCACCTCTGGTAATCAAAGCTGGTGCTGGGGGATCAGTTCTTAAGAATATATATAAAAGAGAGCAATATAATAGAATACAATTTGGTATGAATAAATAAATATAATCTATGGACAAAACATGTGAATAGAGTGGATTTTTTCATATTAATGCCTGATTGCAATCTTGATGATTTTTAAGGTTCCGGTTCCGGATCGGTTTAAAAATGAAAATTTCGTCTACTGTCGTGGTTTTATACATATTTTGTAAAAACAATTAGTTCCTCCTCTGTTCTTTAAAAACTATAATAAAATATGGGTATTGTTAATAAGCATCAATTATGGAGAGTCAATTTTAATTTTCAACCAGATATCTTATTAAATACTGAGGACTAAATAAGTAAAGTCCTGGTTCTCAATTCAGTTGATAACTTTTCTCTATTTAAAATAGAAATAATAATTCCAGAAGTAATCCATTCTTAGTTTTAAAAATGTTTTAGGCCTCTAATTTATATCTGCAGGAAAAGCTGAATAGTTAATAAATTCGATAATTTTAGAATTAAAAACGGCAAACATTGTATCAACATTATCATAGTCCAAACATAACTGCTAATTTTTTTTGTTAATAAGTCCAAATAAGCGGTGTTTATTATATCTCGTCTTACAATTTTTTTTTAGGATTATTATCGTGTATACAGGGTGATCCAACAAGTATACTCATCCCCTTTTTTCTTTAATGATGAAGTTTTTCAAAATCTGATTTTTGGAATCTTTAAATATACTCAAAGACCATATAATATTCATATTCTTGAGATATTTTAAGAAGTGACCTGTGGCGATATGAACCTTTGTTTTTCAAGTGAGAACCCCGATTTTTTTCTTTAAATTATAACCTAACCTATAAGGTTAGTTATCACAAAATGTGTAATAACTAGACAACTACTCTTCCGAATTTTGATTTCAATACATCAAAATTCTCAAAAAATTTAGCCGCTAAATAATTTACAGTAAAAAAGTGGGGTTCCCATTTGAAAAACAAAAGTTTGTATCGCCACAGGACACTCCTTAAGTGGTACAAAAAATTTCTAGAATATGAAAATAATATGGTCTTTGTATATTTAAAGATTCCAAAAATCAGATTTTGAAAAACTTCATTATTAAAAAAAAGGGGGGATGAGCATACTTGTTGGATCATCCCGTACCTATATATATCGGGCGATAACAACGTTGTTGCAAAATGATCAGTTATATACGTATACCAGATCTCAATATATGAAAATTTATTTTATTGGATTCAACATTATGAACAAAAATATGGTCAATTCATGTTTTAGAAAAATTTGAATCTCTAGTAAAATTATAAATGCATATGGTGAAAAACCATTTTTTGAAATAATATTTTAATTGTCATTGCAATTATTTGAATTGTTTGTTAATATTAATCTCACCTCAAAAAATACTTACTATTTAATTATTCATTAATTGTGTTAAATTAAAATTAAATCTAATCCTTGTTAAAAATTATCAATATCATCATGTGGTGATATATATATGAAAATCAATGAGAGAATTTTAGTACATCCACTTTAAGTATTAGATGAATACAATTACAATTTTATACTACTGGTTTTTTGATTTGTATTGCATTTTTAATATATTATATCTATTAATATATGCAACCTTATATTATAATTTTTGAATTTACCTGGTTACAGTTTGAGGCTTATCTTTATGATTCATTCAAGTGCTATTTGTTGGCCTTAATCTTATATTTGGTTGTTGATGAGCCGTTTGCAAAGTTGACTAATCGACTGTTTTATCAAAGGTAAATTATAATTATTGATTTTAGTTGTTTTAAAAATATTATAAGTAATCGATCGTTGAAAATATTCAGAATATTGAGACTTAAGATCTATAAAATAAAAATAATTATTTAATATTATTACCCGAAAAAGTATCTGATCTACACTTGCAAAACAAACCTACGGTACTCTAAATACGCTGCATGTGCACCACAACCAAGTGACCAACAATGTGACTTACGCCAAAAACAAAAAATTAATATAATAAATCATCATTCGTTGCATAAATAATACATAATATATAGATTAAATGTGTATATAGTATAGTAAAAAATTACTATTTTTTTTTAATATATATACCTATTTAGAAAAAATATAAGCTCGTCGATCAACACTAGAACACCGTTCTACAAACTAGCTATACTTGCAGCTGTAAATCAATTAAAAAAGATTAAACTATTGTATGGGCAGTGAATCGTTTATGAAGGTAATTCAAAAATAGAAAGAAATTACCAATATTATTTACATAACAATATAGATTATAAAAATATAATAAAAGTAAGTTATGCCCGTAAATTTCGTAGGTACAAGCGTACTGCAGCAGCAATAATATTATAGGATAGCACTACGTGCGGCGTACAACAACTTCGAACTTATAATAAAATATTTAAATATTATTGTCAATATAATCTGTTTTTATTTTGAAACAATTATGATGAATCCGCAATCTGTATAACAATAAATTATCTTAATGTAAAAAATGCAATGTTATGCTTATGACGCTTTGTTAAGACGCAGACAACACAAAGGTTCCGCACATACCACATGCATGAACATGGTCGTAAAAGTTCGAACACCCCCTCCTCACAATTCGAAAATCCTGATCACTCCCCTGTGCATGAAGAATGTGGGACGTGGCTATACTAATAAGTAATAATATTATTCCTAGTTATATCCGAACCCGCTTTTTTATTTTAATTGAGTATAATATGATAATGATGTTTAGTAAAATGTACCATTCGCATGATGTATGGTATACCTAATACCAAGTACCTATACACAATATTATTATCTTGCTGCAATGACTAACTTTTGTTCTAAAATGTGAGAGTGATTTAACGTTGCGAAACGATAAGAATTCTAAAAACAATTTGTTTTTGTCGTTATGTCTACTACTATTTGAGATCGACTTTCCCAAATTTTTGATTTTATCCCAATGGATCCTAAGAAAAGTTAAATTAATAAGTTTCGTATTTCTACTTAAAATCAAAAATGTGAGAAAGTCGATCTCAAATAGTAAGTGGACTTACTATATAAATTCAAATATTTTGTTTTCAGGGTTCTTATCGTTTCACTGGATCAATCGGTAAGTTGGAAATATAGAACACAATATTATCTTAATTTCCATGTAGCGTGTATGTTAGACAAAAACAAAAAGTCATCCCTTCCTGCAGCCCCGCCCTTAACGTGCCTTTGTGTTTTATGATGCACGTTTCGTTTTCGTGTCAAAAACCTAAAAAGAATCCATAAATTAAGGTAAGCTCACTTCGATAATAACACGTTTTTGCTTGTGTATGGTTGTGTGTGTGAGGAAAAAATTGCTTTAAACGATTTATACGCCGATGAGCGTGACTTCAATTTTTTTATCTACTTGGCTTAGGTACCTACAACTATATTATAATAAAAATAACTACCTCATAATGTGTACATTTTACCTATATAGTGCACTGTTTTACAGTGTATATAGTGCATGCACGATGTAATTATACATTTTATACCTAACAGTAATAACAATAATAATATGCACGCGTGTCTAACCGCATCGTCGTCGCACGTATAATTTATGCCTATATATACCTAATACGCGTACGACGGAAGACGGACAATTGATCATCCCATGATAGCTTTTAGCACGCTTAAAAATTATTCCCTTAGACGTTTATAATAATCATCGTGAATAAAAATACTAAATACCGATTTTTTATTATTTTCAGGAACCTCGGGTAAATTCTATTTATAGTCACACATGCTCATCTCAACACCTATACACGCGCACGGCACACTACACTCCCGATGGCTTGGAAAAAAGCTAAAATAATAATGATTAAAAAACCTGGTAAAGACAATACTGATCCTAAGAACTACAGGCCCATAAGTTTACTTTCATCGGTGTCAAAAATATTCGAAAAAATTATCCACTCCAGGCTTATAAATCATTTAAATGCAACAGAAGCAATACCCCAATGTCAATTTGGCTTTAAGCCAAAACACTCGACGACACAACAACTTCTTCGTATTACAGAACACATAAGTAATGGGTTCGAAAAAAAAGAACACACCGGAGCAGCTTTCCTAGATATAGCTAATGCATTTGATAAGGTCTGGCATGACGGTCTACTTTACAAATTAAAATGCCTCAATACACCCACAGTCATCTTCAACATCATTAGTTCATTTCTATATTCGCGCAGTTTCATCGTCCAAATAGAAGACACAAATTCGGATATCGCATATATTAATGCTGGGGTACCACAGGGATCAAAATTGTCCCCAATACTTTTCAATTTGTACATATCTGACTTCCCCACTACAATGAACACGGAAATAGCTCTGTATGCGGATGATAGTGTAATATATTCTAGCTCTGATAATGTAGATAAGGTAATAGATAATATTCAAACTCATCTCGACGCAGTTGAAAAATGGGCGCAAAGTTGGAAAATCTCACTCAACCCATCAAAAAGCTCAGCAGTCCTATTCACATTACGAAGACCCAAATACTATAATACATTAAAGTTCAACGATCAAAACATAGCTTTGTATCACAATATTAAATACCTTGGGGTTTTATTAGATAAAAAACTCACTTGGAATCCTCATATATCATCGAAATTACAGCAAGGATACCAACGCTTAAAAATATTATATCCACTAATAAATCGGCAAACTTCATTGAACTGGAAGTGCTCACTATTATTATATAAACAAATAATTCGCCCTTTAATTTTATATGCAGCCCCGGTCTGGGGTCAATGTGCTACAACTCATATACACAAAATACAAGTATTACAATCAAAAGTCCTACGTGTAATTTCAAATGCCCCATGGTTTGTCCGAAATGACGCAATGCACACAGATTTCAAAATTCCAACTATCAAAAACTACATAAAAGAATTATCGGTAAGCTTCTTTAACAATTTATCTAAAGCAAGTGGTCCACAGTACTTCAGGCTTCAGCGATTCACCCGACCAAACAGTCGCAGACTCCAACGCGGCCGCCCACACGACGTCCTAAATCATTAATCTACTATTATTATGTAAACATTGTCTTATATTTTATTATTTTTATTATCTGTTAATGTTACACAATCTTATCCTTTTCTGTATATTTTAAACCATAGTTTTAACTATTTATACCATAATTGTGATCTAATTTATAAATGTTAAAAAATAATTAATTCTTTACACCCAAGTTTAGATGATGTCGACTGTCGGGAAAACTTTATATTAATAATAAAATAAAAAAAAAAAAAAAAAACTACACTCATTATTTCGAAGAGTTTCACACCTACACTCGTTATTTCTAAGAGTTTCAGCTTTTAATCATTTTTGAAAATATTATTTTACATTATCTGATATAATTTCAAAACATTTCCGAAAAAAATACTTATCTATTTTTAACGTTATAATTTCTAAGATTTTGGTATTTTCACCGTTAGTTCTTACCTTACACCTTTAATTTCATATTCCGGAGCGGGATACCATTCAAAGTATTGCAATCCATAACTATACAATTTCAGACAAGTATCTATTTCATTAATTAAAAACAAATTATTTTAAAGTTTTGTGGAGCGGAGAAGGTAGTACAGGGCCACAGGGGTACTCCGCTAATCTGAACTATAGTTATACAACGAATGAACTATTTGTACAAAATTTGGTTTTTATGTATTAAAATACACCGGATATTGCTCTGCTTAGAAATATGAAATGTATGTGATGCAATTCAAAAATCTAATAATCTCAAATAACGATTTCGATACCAAGTAGTAAAAATATTTTTACAGCAATATCATCTTGAAATGATATAAAATTAATAATATATTTAAAAAAGTTAAGACTTTTTGAAATAACGAGTAGACAAATAAATGAATCATCTAGTATATTATCGTGTTTTGCACTATTCTCGTATCCATATCGATATCGATGTCAAAATAATATATACCGATACGTATGTCAACTTCAAACTAAAATTTAACACTCATTGACGGACACATATCATTTTTATAAATATCCATAACCTCACTACTGCAGTAAACAAAATTGTATACCTATGCGATGTATGTTTTTGCTAAAACTTTTTTCTTTATTATTATATTTTGTTGCTTTCATATGTACCTACCTACCTAATATTGTATTTCATTTTAACATTTTAACAATTATTCCAATTGTATAATATGTACCTACATTTGTACGAGTTTGTTTTTTTTTTTTACTCGTCTTAATACTAAATCCCAAACTATCTAACTAAATTAAGACAACATTTATTAATTCTTCTATAATTATAATAATTATTGTAATATAACTGTATTTAATTTTAATATCACTAGCAAAATAAAATAATAATATTAGTTAATACCTATTATTTTACTTAGTTATTTCTTTCTCTTGATCTGCTTGTACGGCGCATAGGTTATGAGTGGGTTACTGCAACAGATGGTACTAAATTTGAATTCAATGATGTAAAATCATTGTATACGAAAAACGATTCTGAGCGAAAACGGTCAGTCTATAATATTACTTAGTAATTTAGTACACTTGTTGATGTGATCGTGATTAAATAAATTTATTTCACTATTAAGCATTTAGTACTACAGTATTTTAAATTCATTTTTGCCAAAAAAAATTACATTGGAAAAGTCGTTATGTGTATAAAATATAAAAATATCCTCTTCACGTTTCAAGTACCCTCGAATAATATTTTTAAATTACAACAAAAACACTTTAATCATTATTCTTGGTTATT